GTGTGTGTATGTATCTCGTGTAAGTGTGAAATACCTTTACTACGTATGCGCTCTAAGTTCTTAGTATGACAAAACAATTAAACCCTGGCTTTAACCGTCGTCTGTCCCGATTTCCGTTCGACGTTATTTTTACTCTAACTTCTCAGTGATCGCCGCTCCACTGCCGACTAAATCGCACCCCTCTCTACTTAAACTTAACTCTAATTCATTGTACCGCTTAAAGGTATCCGTTCCTCGTCGAACTCTCGCCCACCCTCCCTCCTTCTTCCTCTCGCTTGTGCTCCTGCTTAGCAGAACAGCCGAAAACAATATATATATATATATTTTTTGTATATATATACATATACATATACACATGTATATATACATATATATATATACTAAGTAAAAGATTCATTTTATAACTTGGCATAAAACGCGATCGCGTATCTATTTACACGATGGGCATGTATTTATGTGTTGTCCACGTGGTACGTGTCTCTCCGGTCACTGTCCCTTTCCCTCTTTCTATGCATGTGTGTGTGTGTGTGTGTGTATACATGTACATGTGTGTACGCGCGTGTGTGTATGTTCCTATCATCACATACGTAAACGACACATAACGTCTTCGAAAATCCTTTTCCCGCGGCACTCTCTCCCTCGGGAATTAACTTCCCTATGACTATATAATCTCCATCGTCTAGCAATCATCAACCCCATCCCCGATTAACTTCGTGCGCCCTCGAGACAATCGGTGTCACCTTCGCCCGAAGAATTTTTCCCTCTCTCGTGTTTCTCCACTTTCATCTCGCATCTCGCTCTCGCTCTGCGCGGCGATTTTTTCTTCACCACTCGCTCATGTCGCCACTTACAACATCGCATCTCGCTTCTGCCCAGCGTCCGAGAAACGTGAGCGACGACGACGCATCGTCATTTCATCTACGGTCATCGCAATGCGGCTCTTCCATCCCAACCATCATTCTTCCCTTCCCCGAACCTAAAACTAATCATCCACCTGTCTACCCTTGACCGTTTCCGCGCGCGCATCCACGACTACTCACGCATATGCACGCACGCGCGCACGCACGCACGCACGCATGCACGCACGCATGCACGCACGCACGCTCGCTCGCTCGCTCGCTCGCTCGCTCGCTTACATACTCCTCGCTACGGTTTTACAATTATACGTACGTATTTCGCAATACGCCTGCGTAGTTGACCACAAAGGAAAGAAAACAAAAAGAAAACAAATAAGACAGAGGACAACGGATTCTGTTTGCGGGCAGACCGACGACGTGATAACCGCGACATTCAGTACAAACAAGGTCGAGTGTGCATGCATAAGCATGTGATTGGCTGAAGCATTTTGAGTCACGTCATTCGACACGTTTAAATGTATTAAATGACGTGATGTAATCGGCGACAAGAAAGGCGTAGAGAAAGCTTCAGCAATCACACGCATTATGTGCGTAGAAGCCACTCGAATTTGCAGTGAGGTTACTGGTTTTCTCCAGTCATGCGAATTTCTAAGCAACAACACGTACGAAGCCACCACTATGATAAGTGTACCGTTTCGTTCACACGATCGTTTCCTTTATTTCGAGTAACCAATAAATACTAAATCAATATTGCCTGCAATCGACAGATCAAAATACTACGGTTATCATGCCGAGCTGTTTACACGCTTACATAGACAGACATCGCGCGCGAGGATAATCCCGGAGCCTCTCCGTACCTAGCGAATTCCGCGCAGGATAAAGATAACGACGCGGGAAATGAGCATCGATCAGCTTGAGACTCGATTACTCAGGTCTGCAATACATGATTCTGTGTTCGCTCGCGGAGTGCACACGTATATAGTGCGTGGGCCTGGGCGATTGATCGAGCGGGGAATGAGAGAGAATTCGCTCAGGCAGCTCCGAGATCGATGGTTTTACTCTTACGTTACCCTCTGCGCAATAGGGCAGCAATGGCAGGAGAACTGTTCCGACATTATCCGGACCAAGTAGTAGCAGTAGCAGTAGTAGTAGTAGTAGTAATAGTAGTAGTAGTAGTAGTAGTAGTAGTAGTAGTAGTAGTAGTAGTAGTAGTAGTAGTAGTAGTAGTAGTAGTAGTGGTAGTAGTAATGGTAGTAATAATAGTGGTAGTAATGGTAGTAGTGGTAGTAGTAGTAATAATAGTAGTAACGCTAACGGCTGTACGGAATGTACAGATTTCGTCATATCGTTCGTTAATCGCTATTGTGTTTCCTGTGTATGTGTGTGTGTGTGTGTGTGTGTGTGTGTTGGTATGATTGTGTGCGTATATAAAACGCGATGCATTGCAAAACTATGAGGTAGTACTGTTATACTTTTGGCAGAGTATGCGCGCGTACGCGCGACGAGTGTTCGACACGTGTATATTTGGCATGTTATTATTGATGAACGGTATTCAAGAAAATATACAAAGCGGGGGGCGAAAAAGAAAAAAGGAAATAACTGGAAAAACACTGGAGGGAGAAAAACAAAAAAAACTAAAGAAACGTAAAGTTGTATCTTCTGAGCGTCTAATCGCGTTAACTATATTGATATCCCCCAGCTCGCGTACAATGCTTTTAAATACTAAGTAATTATCTTTCTGTCGCCCCTCTCTCTCTCTCTCTCTCTCTCTCTCTCTCTCTCTCTCTCTCTCTCTCTCTCTCGCTCTCTTTCTCGCTCTATTATCTATTGTCTCTCATTGATAACTTACGGTAGGCGTATCGTTGTGAGAATAACCATTTAAACTTTCTGCAAAGAATAAAAGGAAGAACAAGAATAAACGGAAATACGGAGGAATAATCTGTATAAAGAGTGTAAATACTGTAACAAGTAATATCGTGGGTGCCATCCTGACTAGGAGTATATCTCTCTATATATATATCTATATATAGGTAATGTGTAATAAAATCTATTGCATTGATCACATCTTATACAACCGGGATAGCAACTATTTCGCGCAAACTGCGCTCACTGTTTCTCACGTGATCGATGGCTATACTCTATTATATCGGTACGCGACTATTGCTCCGGACAAAAGTCCGCATTTAAACATTGTAAACAGGTAACAAAGTGGTAGTGATCGTTCGACCGCGGGGCCGCCGCTGCCGCAAGACTTCCATGGCGAATGCGTGTGTGCGTACTTTTGTGTGTGTGTGTGTGTGTGTGTGCGTGTGTGTGTGTGTGTGTGTGTGTGTGTGTGTGTGTGTTGTATGTGGCGACCAAATGACTGACGGACTCCGGTCGCGTCGCTTGTACTCGCACGGTTAGAGAAGATAGAAGATTACATTGAATCGACGTCGACATGAAACGTTGTTAACAAGCAGCGATTATTGACGATTTATTGCTTGTCGACGTCTCGACTCGCGTCCTCCTCGCGCATTCGCCAAGAAGTGTCGACGGCCAGTTGGGCGTACTCCCGCGGCTAATCGCACGACTGTCGTCCGCTCTAGAATCGCAGTAATCTCATAAACGTTCTATAAAATTGTATCTGTACAAAAGGTGAGTGTTGCGAGTGTGTCGTCGGGGTGTCTCGTATCGGCGCGACTTTGGATATGTGTCACCGCGATGATGATCATCGTTAACATCGGTAGAGAGAAGTCGGTCGTTCATTATGTTGCGCGTATGTAAAAAAACGAAAACGAAAGATGTCGGTTCTGTCAACGATTGTGTATCAGTAAAATATGTCTCTGTGTGAGTGTGACTGAATGAAGGCTATCTAGAGTAAGAAGAAGAGAAAGCGTCTGGTTTGGCATTGGACGCATGGTGTAATGTTGTATTGATATTACCCAAGTGTCACATGATTCTAGGCTCAACAGCGATAGCAATAGTAGTAATTGTGGTAGTAGTAGTAGTAATAGTAATAGTAGTAATGGTGGTGGTGGTGATGGTGGTGTTGGTGATGGTGATAGTGGTAGTGGTAGTGGTAGTAGTGGTGGTGATGGTGATGGTGGTAGTGGTGGTGGTGGCGGTGGTGGTGGTGGTGGTGGTGGTGGTGGTGGTGGTGGTGGTGGTGGTGGTAATGGTAGTGGTAGTGATGGTGGTAGTGATACTAGTGGTAGCAATAATAGTAATAATAGTAATAACAATAGTTGTGGTAGTAGTATGATAGTAGTAGTAGTGATAGAGCAGTCGCAGTAGTAATAGTAGTAGTAGTAGTAGTAGTAGTAGTAGTAGTAGTAGTAGTAGTAGTAGTAGTAGTAGTAGTAACGATGATGGTGATGGTAGCGGTGCTGAGGGTGGTGGTAGTGATAGTAATAGTAGCGGTGACAGTGGTGGTAATGGCGGTGTTAGTGGTAGTGGTAGTAATAATAGTAGTAGTAATAGTAGTTGTAGTAGCAATTGTAGTAGCAGTATCGTAATAGTGATAGTGATAGAGCAATAGTAATAGTAATAGTAGTAGTAATGGTAGTAGTGTTGGTGTTGGTGTTAATGTTGGTGGTGGTGGTGATGGTGGTATAGCGTAATAGTACCAGAAACACATACCAGTTAACGGCGTTAACAGTTTCAACGCGACGGCGAGTAAATCGATCTATGGTAATATAATGTTAAACTATCAAAAAGTCAGCCACGACGGCTGTTGGTGCCACGTTAGTTTACCTGAGTTTGCATTGTTCTGTCTCGCAGCACGCCCTTCGTGCATCGCGCGGTACGCGCTCGCGCGCGAACCCGCGACCTCGGATACGTGCGTTCGCAGCAACGACGTCGATCTCACCATCGACAGCACATCTCGTGTGTCGCGCTCGGACACAACCTGCGTGCGTACCCCAAAAAGGCGGGATTACGAGGGGGATTTTGTCCCGAATATAATGAGCCGTCTTCAGAATAGCAGACGGGATGCGTATCGTATATTTCGCACACACGTTTTAGCGAACGCGCACGCTTTCGAAATCTTCGGCTCGTTGCTAGCGAGCGCATTTCCGTTCGACGCCGATCTGCGTTACATGTGATTTTGTTGACGCGCGTACTCGCTTTCCCGTTTTATCTTCATTCGTTATCTCTTTTATACTTTCTCTCTCTCTCTCTCTCTCTCTCTCTCTGTCGCCCGTTAAAAAGCTCTAGTTAATAAACCTTACATGACCGTTGCACTTTCATTGACTAGTTTTGTGGTTCGTAGCGTTGTCTTTTCGCGAGCGTGTGTCCGAGAGGCGCTGCTCTGTGCGCATTGTGCTCCGCGCTCGTTTCTCGCGCCTCTGCGCCTCCTCTATTAATCTAATCCTAGCCATCTCGTCCGTTGATCTTGGCAAACGTCCTCCTTCGTGGCGCGAGACATTCAACATCGACGGGAGCGCACGGAGAGAGCCCTCGTCCTCACGACGAGGGACCGGGACGGCGTTCGCTGACGACGACAAAGGGGAAACGAAGGTACCTACTGCAGCCTCTCCTCTCCTCTCTCGTCTCGTCTCGTCTCGTTCGCACTGTCCGTGGACCGGTGGTCCCGCTGGACAGCTCTCACGGCTGTTCACACACGGGTTTGTCGCTGGTGGCCGGCGGTAGCACGCACCAACCGACGGCCGCGGTGGCGACGAAGACGACAGCGACGCCGAAGACGTTGTTACTGCGGCACAATGTCCGAGAGCGAATGATTGGACTGCTGAAATGCCTTCAGGTTGAAGGCCGTCTTCGCCTCGTCCTTGTGCTCTCGCGCGATGTGCCGTCTTACGGTGTTATTCCTGGTGAAGGTGCGTGTACAATGCGGACAATGCACCCTGATGCCCTGGTGACGTTGTCGTATGTGGGCACGCAAGTTCGTCTCGTAGCCGTACAGTCTTTCGCAGTAGGGGCACTTCATCTTCTGACCTGCGGGAAAATACATAGCGTTTCACAACGGGTTCGTTTGTACGCCGGCGAGACTCGTCGAGCCGACAGGCTCTTGCATTGCAAAGCCGAGTGTGTTATTTGCAAGCGTGCCATTGGCTGAGGCTTCTTTCTTCGCCTTAGCCTCTTATCCTTTTAAATCTCACACCGTTGTTGAATGTGTTTAAACGACATTTGATACGTTACGTATGAAAATAACACACTCGAAATCACAGTCGTGACTGTGTTGGATTGTGACGTCAAAGGTGAGAAACGATGCGTTGATAATGAGCTAAAATGTGCAGTTTGTGAGATCACGATCTTATCTGAGAATTGTGATGAACGCGACATATCATGTCGAAAGGACCCCAAATTTTTTAGAGGTTTGCTATATGATAGTTCTTGTTGTGTAGATCAAAAGTGTCGATGAGCTCGAAGTCTTGTAATGAACAGTTTCCAAATTACAGTGGCTCAAAGTTGAAATTTTCGTACATCATGCAGTATAGTGACGAAAGATATTGACTACGTTTACGCGGCAACGTTAATCCGGTCTTGTAACAATCAACGGTCGGTTGATGATTTTGAAATTTCTAAAAGTCGATAAGTTAACGAAAATTGGAGCACTATTGTAACAATATATTCTTCAGACCAAATCCAAGAGGAAAAAGTCTAATACTAGTTTTTCTTTCGGCGAATAGTTAGCGAGATATCGTAAGTTAAATGTTGAAAAAGTTACCAGGTTTTCCTGAAATATGTCAACAAATTTTAGACAAATAAAACAATGTTTCAGACAAAAGTCGTTAAAATTAATTGACAGAAAAGGATGATATGAGAAAAAACTGGGGCTTCTATAATATAATGATCAATGAATATCTCGAAAGTGGCGCCATCTGTAAACAAACTGGTATAGTTGTTTTGTGTCCCCTTTGAAACCATACAAACTTCTGTCTGAAATATTTTTTGACACCTCGCTTGGTTTTCGAAAAAATTGGTCATTATAAATGCCCCATCCTGTATACACATATACATATACATATATATTTTGCTGTGTGTATCATATTTAGTTACCATGCTCAACTATTAGTTACCATCGGTATTAGCCAATTATTATTTCGTTCGAAGATAGTCGTGTACGTAAAGTGCAGGGGTAACGATAGAGAGTTAAAGAGATCTACAGAGTTATATATTTAATGAGAATTATTTATTTATTATAATAAAAAGAAAAACCTAGTATAGTCATCCAGCATAGAATGCTTCAAAGTCTACAAGAATATATTGTACATATATCTATCTATTATATATGCGTACGCGTTTACACACAAACGCGCGCGCACACACACACACACACATTCGAATGTATATATACGTTATACATGAACATGTTCCCTCACTATACGCGAATGATATGAAAATCCCGAATATGAGCCGCTGTAACTCAGAAACTGCTCATTACTGGACTTCGAATTCATTGATTTTTTATCTACACAACAAGAATTATCATACAGCAAATCCTGAAAAAATTTAGCCGAAAACCATTTCTCACAAGAATTCGAACGGAGGATATCGTATAACACGATTTCACATCGCCGATTCAATTTCCAATCATAGGTGGTTTTAAATTGCATGTGACCCTTTGCATTTGCAAATGCGACCTTTGCACATCGCATTCTAAAGCGCGGGAGCGATTCTACGATGAAAATCTAATCATTTGCGATTCAAGAGAGAGAAATCACAGTATCTTGTCATACATCATAGTATCGCATTCAGCATACCTCCAAAATATTCCGAAAACTAGTCTCTTCTCCTGATAGTCCGACACAGCTATAAAATGATTGTAATGACTGAGGCCTACACTGAGAAAAAATTGTATTAAAATTAAATAAATCTTTGTTCAAATATGACCGTGAATAAATTTATTCGAATTAAGCGACTAATTTCTAAAATGAAATACTGAGGTTCTGAATGTAAACTTTGTTCTTGAATTTTAGAAAAGAATTGTTTAATTTAAGTAAATGTATTCACAGTCGTATTCGAACAAATATTTGTTTAATTTTAATACAATTTTTTCTCAGTATAGGCATGCATATACACAATCGTTTCGTATAACCAAATCTCATATCACGATCATCTTACGGCTGTTTGACACAGTTTTCACGTGAATATTCTCCGAATTATAATAGAACAGGCATCTATTTCCCCTTCTCTCTCTCTCTCTCTCTCTCTCTCTCTCTCTCTCTCTCTCTCTCTCTCTCTCTCTCTCTCTCTCTCCCTCTCCCTCTCTCTCTCCCCCCCTTTCTTTCTCTCTCTCTCTCTCTTTCTCGAACTGTTAGTATGTTTTTGCCTAAAGCGACAAATGTACGAGTGATAAATTAAATAGTCGCTTTTCGACTTGACAAATTAAACTGTAGGTGAATCAAAGCCAAGCGTACGCTCGATCACTCTCTGTATCTCCTGAGGAAATGTAGACTTTATTCACATGACGCAATGCTTCAAATGTCAAACGGTCCGAGAGATCGACGAGCATCTCGGAGATGACGTTAACAAATGAACACGGAGATAAATAATATTTCGAACGGCATTTTTTCGTTTCTTTTATGACCCGATTGAGCGATATCGCTGGTAAATCAGGCGCGATCCGCACATACACGCTGCGGCAGGAGCTTCGTGGGAGGAAGCGTAGATGCAGATTGCGCAACCCACCATCTCCTCTTTTTCTTTCACGCATCACACAGTGTACACATACACGCGCGAGCTGGTTTCTTGTTTGTTGCGCAGCCGCGCGCTTCGCCATTCGGTCCCTCCTCGGCCAGAAGAAAACAAAGTTCGGGCCGGCGAACGGCTCATGATGGAGCATTAGGCCAATGCCTCCAAGATTGTCGGCGCGTGCAAGGTCATCTTCTTGCGCTCCGCGGTCTTTAATACACTTCCCATCCAGCCTGATTAACTCGCGCCCGAAGTGCCATTTACGGCGACCGCGACTCGGCCTCTCCGTCGCCGGCGAGCGCGCGAGGCCGATCGCGCGCGCACGCTTATCGTGAAACTATTTTCGGTGTATGTTTGAAAATATTGCTGCACCAAGAAACGCGATCTTTTTCGTAGTAATCAACAAAACAAACTATAAAAAGATATATATATATATATATGATATATATATATATATATACACAGTGTCCCATTTTAAATCCAGGCAAATATCTCAAAATATATTAAGTAAATAAAAAAATGTTTCAAACAAAAATTATTCCAATTAATTGGTAGAAAAAGATGGTGTAATAAGAAAGTGGGCTTTCCATTTAAGAAAAGTAATGATCAGTGAATATCTCGAAAATGATGCCATCTGTAAACAAATTGATGTAGTTGTTTTATGTCCCCCTTGAGACCAGTACCTTTATCTGAAACATTTTTCCATATCTTTCATATTTTTCGAGATATTTGCCTGGGGGATTTAAAATGAGACATCCTGTATATATATATATATATATATATATATATTCAGGCTCCGAATGTCCCAACCAAACTTTGAGATTTTATAAGTAATTTGATTCTAAATAAAAAGTTTCCTATAAATATGAGTGAAAAATGCTTCTTTAAGAAGTTAGCGCACGAAAACTTCTAAAATCACGTTTGTTCAGCACATTACAATTCTTTCGACCTGGTAGTACATTGCCAAGTCAAACGAATTGTTTTGACTTTGATATTGCCCATGTACAGTTATCCGTCATATTGCGCGATAAAAGTTTATACGAAATAGTACCACGAATACGGATAAATGCAGAGCAAAGCAGTCCCGTTGTAGTAAGAATTAGAACGGAAACGCCCGTATAGTGGCAAAGGAGAACGTCCTGTGAAATTGTTGCGTAATAACGCTAAACCGCACATTGCTTCTACGACAAAAGACATCATAATGAGTCTTGGCTGGGACGTCTTGCAGCATCCGGCGTATTCACCAAATATAGCTCCTATCGATTACCATTTGTTCCGGTCGGTGCAACATGCCTTGTCCGATACGTATTTCGAATCAGTGGATGAAATCCGAAAATGACTTGACGACTTTATCGTGTCCAAAGATACAACATTTCTCCGACATGGGAATTCATCAGCTGCCTGAAAGATGGCTTAAAGTTATAGGAAACAACTTTGGTTGACAAATTTGTTTGACTTTCTTTTAAAATAAACTTTGAATTTTTAGCTGAAAATTTTGGATTATTCATTTATACACCTAATATATTCATTTGCAACAACAGACTATTTCATAGAATATCACAAAGTTGCTCGAGAAATATGCCGTGAGAAGAATTTAGTGCGTAATTGCGGCAATGTTCATTGTACTGTTTACGCGCAAATGCATGCCTCAAAGGCAACGCGCAAAAGTATCTACCCAAATCTTTGAAGCCGCGATATATGGCGCGCTTCCGAAAACTCTGCGTGATGCGGAAGAAAAAGCGCGTCTTGTATGAAAAAAATACTAATGTTAGATTCAAGCGCCGCGCATATAATGGCAGCCTTGAGAGAAGAAACGAAATAATTTTTTGTCCGAGTCATTAGCGTTAGAGAACTAGCTAACGACGCTATACGACCGTGACTCCGTGGTCGGTGCTCATCTCGATGTAGCAAGTTCTCTCATTGTAAGACCGAGGAAGCGCGTACGCGTTCTATCAATGACGTTTTGTCCTTTCCGAACGAAACGCGCGTTAGTTTCTCCGTCCATTAGGCCATTCGTTAGCCCGATAGATATGTGTGTGTGTGTATATGAGGATTCTTCTTTGTTTAATTAAAAAGAAACGGCCTGGCGGCACCGAAAGCGCGCGACCCGACTGCTCGCCGTGACATCATCGCTCTTGAACGATGACGTGATCGCGCGTGCACGCGCCTAATGATAACAATTTTCTAACGTGATTCTATGCTAAATCACAGTCGCGCGCGATGAATTGGCCGAAATCATGTTTGCGTTTTACGAGCGTAATTGAACGGGCCATTCACCGGGTTGCGTGACACACACACAC